CTCACCCTCTGCATCTCTGGCCTGTACCCCAGTTCTGTATGAATAAATAAATAAATCTTTAAAAAATTTTTTTTAATTAATAAAAAATTATATATATAAAAAAAGTGAACCTCCAGAGACTTCTTAGCCTTAGGAGAAAATGTCCAGATCTTTTTAACTATCCTATAAGATCCCTGCATAACTTAATACCCTAAGACCTTATTCCCATCTCAGGTCGATGCTCCAGACTTAATTTCTGTTTCCTGGTTGTCATTCTCATATTCTTTCTCTCTTTTCCCTCTAATTGTCTTTCTCCCTCCCCTCCCCTCTACTTCTCCTCATCCTGTAGATTTCAGTTTAGATGTCTCTTCTTCCAGGAAGCTTTCCATGAATGCCTTCTGCCTCATTTTCAATTCAGACACCCTTCCTATACATTCCCATGGAGGTACCATACTTCTCTTAACTCAGCCTTTTTCACACTCTACACTGCTGTCTCTCCTACTACACTAAGACATCTGCGATTAGAATCACTGACTGTATGATCGTGCTCTCAGAGTCTAGCAAGTACATAATAAGCACTTAATTAATACTTGTGAATGAACTGAATGAATGAATGGTCTCCTGGCTACAAGTAAGGGTGATGTTTAAAGTCTTGAAAGGTCAGTAAGGCACAGCACCTACCAAGCATGTCCAGAAGGTCCTAGACATGGCATGCAGGGCACTGTCACCAGTTTGGAAAATAACCTGTTACCAGTTTGGAAAATAACCTGCTTGAAATATCTGACCCTGGCCCAGCTGTCCTGGTGTGTCATGGGCCTGGGCTGCAACATTCTAGGTAGCTCCTCCCCAGCCCCCAGGCATGGACACCTACATCAGTGGGGTGTCCAAGGCAGAGAAGTGGGTGGCCATGTCCCGGGGGGCAGAGGCAGGCAGTCGGATGTGGCCCCAGCGGAGGGCCAGGAAGTGGAGAGTGTCCCGAGCCAGAGTGAGGTGCGGCAGCTGGCGCAGGCTGTCCTGGTGCCAGGTGTAGATGCCCATCACGGGCACGCCCAGGTCCTGTGTCCACAGCACTGCCCCGCTTCCTGGGTCCACGGTGAGCAGCAGGCCCATCCCGCAGGATGCCAGGTAGCTCATGTCTGCGGGGAAAGCTGTCTGGGAAGATGGCCCAGGAGCCCCGATGTGGGGCACCGAGGAACATCTGGAGGTGGTGGGGCTGCAGGGCCGGCCTTTGGGGCAGCAGGAGGGCCCCTCGGGAGTGTGGGGCTAGGGCAGGAGGGGAGGGCTGGCCTTTGGGGCAGCAGGAGGCCCCTCGGGAGTGTGGGGCTAGGGGAGGAGGGGGATCGAGACAGGGGACGGTCACTCTGAGTTCACTGGGTCACCTTAGTCAGGCAGGGGTCAGTCAAGGTCAAATGGGAAGCTGGAGGAGATAGGGGTCACTCGAGGCATCTAACTGACTGGGATGTATGAATCCCTCCAGATCACTTGAGAGAAATCACTTAGGATGTGGGGGGCACCTGAGATGGGCCAGTCAGGGTGGACTGGCGGTATGTGAGTCATAAGTCATTTAACTAATGAGAGGTCAATCGGGGTTTTCTGGGGTGTCACTTGTGATGGGCCAGGGTTACTGACTCCTTGTTCACAATCACCATCTCTATTCACCAATTTCTGCCTTTTCCTCTGAATATATCTTACCTTCCTATTATTTCCACCTCTAGTGTTC